CACCTGGTCTGCTTCTTGCCTGGAGAAATCTTTGGCATTTGAGAGGGTTCAACCTGATGGTGTCTGGAGGGGAGATGGGACGAGGGCGCCCACGTGGGTCACTGTGTTTGGAGTGACCAGGGCCCTGGTGTGCAGAAGCCAAGGGTGTGGTCCTGTGGGACAGGCAGGGGAACAGCTGGGGTCGCTGAAACCTGGCTGGGGGGCTGGCTGCTGCGTAAGAAGCAGACCCGGCTTCCGAGCGTGAGGGCTTCGCTTCCTGGGAGGTTCCGTGGAGAGACGCTGCCGTGAGTCTGAGGGCAGATTTTGAAAGCACCCTAACATTTTTGGGGTTTACTAAAAACTTGGGAGCAGTGGTGTGCTGAAGCTGAGTCATACCAGGTCATAAGAGCTGAGTTACATTTTCAGGAGTTTCGGCTTTTGCTCTGCAAGCCATTCATTTTTTTTTTTTTTTTTTGAGACGGAGTCTTGCTCTGCCGCCCAGGCTGGGGTGCAGTGGCCGGATCTCAGCTCACTGCAAGCTCCGCCTCCCAGGTTTACGCCATTCTCCTGCCTCAGCCTCCCGAGTAGCTGGGACTACAGGCGCCCACCACCTCACCCGGCTAGTTTTTTGTATTTTTTAGTAGAGACGTGGTTTCACCGTGTTAGCCAGGATGGTCTCGATCTCCTGACCTCGTGATCCGCCCGTCTCGGCCTCCCAAAGTGCTGGGATTACAGACTTGAGCCACCGCGCCCGGCCCATTCATTATTAAAAAATAAATTGTATCGATGATTAGATTGTACTATAAAAGAATCAAAAGTCATCATTCCCTCATGATTTGATGGTTTGACCACATATTATACTACTATATGTGCTGGGTTTTTTTTTTTTGAGACAGAATCTCACTTTTGTTACCCAGGCTAGAGTGCAGTGGTACGATCTCGGCTCACTGCAACCTCTGCCTCCCGGGTTCATGTGATTCTCCCACCTCAGCCTCCAAGTATCTGGAACTACAGGCAGGAGCCACCACGCCTGGCTAATTTTTGTATTTTTGTAGAGACGAGGTTTCGCCATGTTGCCCAGGCTGGTCTCAAACTCCAGAGCCCAAGTAATCTACTCCTCTTGGACTCCCCAAAATGCTGGGAATACAGGCATGAGCCACCACACCCAGCCCCCATTTGCCACTCTTTTTTTTTTTTTTTTTGAGACGGAGTCTCGCTCTGTCACCCAGGATGGAGTGCAGTGGCGCGATCTCTGCTCACTGCAAGCTCCGCCTCCTGGGTTCATGCCATTCTCCTGCCTCAGCCTCCTGAGTAGCTGGGACTACAGCGCCCGCCACCTCGCCCAGCTAGTTTTTTTGTATTTTTTAGTAGAGACGGGGTTTCACCGTGTTAACCAGGATGGCGTCGATCTCCTGACCTTGTGATCTGCCCGTATCGGCCTCCCAAAGTGCTGGGATTACAGGCTTGAGCCACCGCGCCCGGCCCCATTTGCCACTCTTATCCCTAAACAGGGAAAAGCAAAGCAGTAAGAGCTGAGATTCACCTTTAAAAGCCTCTGATTCCAAATTTAGTCACCAAATATGTTGTCTTCATATTAATTAATGAGGAACTTAAGGAAAGGCCATTTGTCGGGACTGGCAAGGAAGCACGTCTGTGTATTTTCTTCCTGGAAAGGGAAATTGAAATTACAACGGAGCCATCACCCGCGGTGGCACCCAGTCAGTTGCTGGTGCTGCGATCTTGGGATCCCTCCTAGACTCCCCCAGGAGGCCTGTTGGGACCATTTCCCACATGGCTTTGGGGCAGAGCCCCTGATTTAATGGAATCACTTGTGTTATTCAGAGTGGGGTGCTCAAGATCCCTTGGGGTATGGGAAGAAAATGTAGAACTTAATTTTCGTATTTTTTGAGACGGAGTGTAACTTTTGTCGCCCAGGCTGGAGTGCAATGACGTGATCTCGGCTCACTGCAACCTCCGCCTCCCAGGTTCAAGTGATCCTCGTGAGGAGCTGGGATTACAGGCACCCGCCACCACGTCTGGCTAATGTTTGTATTAGTTATTTATTTTTTATGTTTTTGACACGGAGTCTTGCTCTGTCGCCCAGGCTGGAGTGCGGTGGCACCATCTCTGCTCACTGCAAGCTCCGCCTCCCGGGTTCACGCCCTTCTCCTGCCTCAGTCTCTCTGAGTAGCTGGGACTATAGGCCCCCGCCACCACACCCAGCTAATTTTTTAATATTTTTAGTAGAGATATTCACTGTGTTAGCCAAGATGGTCTCAGTCTCCTGATCTTGTGATCCACCCACTTCAGCCTCCCACAGTGCTGGGATTACAGGCGTGAGCCACCATGCCCGGACCCTAGTTTTTGTATTTTTAGAAGAGATGGGGTTTCACCATGTTGGCCAGGCTGGTCTGAAACTCCTGACCTCAGGTGATCTGCCTGCCTCGGCCTCCCAAAGCTGGAATCTGTTCTTATTTTAAAAATGTAACTGTAAGAAAGCAATTAAGCATTGCTAAGCTTTAATATGCAAAATAGGAAATAGTATGCAAAATAATAGGAAAATATACATATAGACTTTGGAAATATATGCTCAAATTTTTCTCGTCATGATTGTGTGGACCCTGCCAACGACCTCTTTGTGGGCATTTTTTGGTACCTCCAGCACCAGATCAGGACCAGCTCTGAAAATAGATGCTGAAGGCACAAATGTAGGTAAAATGCAAACTGCTTCCTGCCTCCTAAGGGGACTCAAGCCCTCCCTTCCGGCAGAGGGGGCAGCATGAGTCAAGGCCTATGAACTGCACAGAGGTCCCTGCTGTAGGTGACAGCTTTCAGAGAGAAGTAGCTGGGGTTGTGGGGTCTTCCTCTGGTTTACCATGCCCACCACACACACCCATGGCTTCTACTCAGACACAACTCCTGTCCTTCAGAGCCCAAGATGGCCCAAGGAAATTTTATTCATTTGGGACATAGTTTCGCTTTATCTAGGCTGGAGTGCAATGGCATGATCTCGGCTTACTGTAACCTCCACCTCCTGGGTTCAAGCGGTTCTCCTGCCTCAGCCTCGCGAGTAGTTGGGATTACAGGCGCCCACCACCTAATTAGCCACCAGCTAATGTTTGTATTTTTAGTAGAGATGGGGTTTCTCCATGTTGGTCAGGCTGGTCTCGAACCCCCGACCTCAGGTGTTCTGCCAGCCTTGGCCTCCCAAAGTGCTAGGATTACAGGTGTAAGCCACCGCGCCCAGCCGGTCCAAGGAAATAATGACTCATGATGATGACTTCGGCAGACTTTTGGAACCTGGGCCATAAATCTTCCAAGCGTGGCCCACAGATTGACATGAACAGGTTGAGGGAGGCCGAAGGGGTACACTCCCCACAGCCCAGAAGATCTGAGTGCTTAGGACCATTCCAGTCCACAGAGCGACGCTGCAGGGCAGAGGAAGAGCATGGGGCCTGTGTCTTTAGCCCCAGGTGCCAGGAAGGAATGCTGCCCATGCCGTCTGTAGCCACTGGACTAGCGCCTTAGGGATGGGGCTAGATGACTTAACGTGTGTTTTTTGAGACAGTGTCTTGCTCTGTCGCCCAGGCTGGAGTGCAGTGGCAGATCACGGCTCACTGCAGCCTCTAATACCTGGGCTTAAATGATCCTCCCACCTCAGCCTCCCAGGCAGCTGAGACACAGGTCCGTGCCAGCATGCACAACCAACTTTTTTGTAGTTGGTAGAGATGGGTTTCACCATGTTGCCCAGGCTGGTCTTGAATCCCTGACCTCAAGTGTTCGCCTATCTCGGCCTCCCAAAGTACTGGGATTACAGGTGTGAGCCACCTCGCCCAGCCATATTTGTGTATATTCTATGACGTAACAGTCACAAACACCAAGGGCCCACTCCCCGTGGTGGCTTCACTCGCGTGTTCCTCTTCTACCACCAGGCACCACCCCTTCCAGGAGCAAACCACAATTTGCATTTTCTATTACTCCGTCTCATCAAACAAAAGCTGCTTCATCACATGCTCCTGTGTCTATGCAAGCACTGCTTGCCCCTGCGTTTCACGTGAATGACACCCCTGCAGAGTCTCCTGAAAGCTGCTCTTTTTACTCAAGTTTCTCCTCCTAACATTTATCCATATTAGCAGCCTTTTTGGTTTCACAATACATTTATTTAGAAAAGCAACATACAGTAATAGGTATTTCAGAGAATGCAGCAAAGGATAAAGACAAATACAAAAGACACTTGGGATACAACTGCTGGCTTCTGCCTTCCACACACAGTGGATTTTACTGTAACTGACTAGAGTCACTCTGGTGCCAGGAAGTTCAGAGCCATGTCCGTGGCCACCACTGGCAGCTGTGGCTATTTCTGTGGACTGTTGTTATGCCGGGCTTCATTGTTCTTTCATTTAATAAATGTCCCAGTCACATTTGTTGGACTGGGCTGGGGACATACAGGGGAACAACAGTGGGTCTCTGCCCGTGGGAGCTCACAATCTAACAGCGAGACGGACGCAAACGGCTAGCACAGGACAGCATAGCAAATGTTACCCAAGGTACAGGCTCAGGGTGCTACGGGGACCTGCAAGAAGGCCACCTGAGCTTTGGGTAGCTGGGAAGGCTTCCTGGAGGAGGTGAGGCCCAGAGGTGGGGGTAAGCCTGGGCCAGGCAAAAGGCAGGCCTCTGTGTGTAGGCCCCTCAGCTGACCTGTCTTCTGTGCAATTCTCGATCCCACTGTTTGTTCTATTCACACTGTGCTGCTTTGTCTTGGTGGTTAGCTTTCACAGGCACACACCTCCTACTCCAAAACTTACGCTGCTGTCTCCTGGGACGCTTTTTTTTTTTTTTTGAGACAGTCTCTGTTGCCAGGCTGGAGTGCAGTGGTGTGATCCTGGCTCACTGCAACACCTCCCAGGTTCAAGTGATTCTCCTGCCTCAGCCTCCCGAGTAGCTGAGATCACAGGCACCCACCACACCTGGCTAATTTTTGTATTTTTAGTAGACACGGGTTTCACCATGTTGGTCAGGCAGGTCTTGAACTCCTGACCTCAAGTGATCGGCCTGCCTCAGCCACCCAAATTGCTGAGATTACAGGCATGAGCCACTGCGCCCTGCAGGCTTTGGAGGTTCTCTTACATTTGGTATTTTTTCATGACACCTATGACTACGCTTTGGAGAGAGCGGCTGTCCCCGCGACCCTGGCTGGGACCAAGACCACCACTGCGTCTCCATCACCAGGTCAAGCCAGGACGAGGTGGGCGGTTGCAGTGGCTGGAAAGGGGCCAAAGACACTCAAATAAAAGCCACAGAAGCCACACCCATGAGGCTGCTGCCTGGGCAGAGGGCTCAGAATACTTCCTACATGGAAAAAGGCAAAGCACACAGCAATTGTCTCAAGGGCAGTCACGTGAAAGAAAGAAACATGTATCTTGCCACAACCCCAAACTAGACAACAGGGCGCGTTCCCCGCATGGAACTCCCAGGGCCCTGCTGTCGCTCAGTCGAAGGTGATGCGGAAGCTGCGCTCCTGCTCCTTGCGCCGGCCCTCGCACACCTTGGTCACCTCCTCCACCTTCCTCTGCAGCAGGGCCGAGTTCTGGTCGATCCACTGCAGCGAGCCCATGTGCGCGTTGAGGATCTTGCAGATCTGCTGCAGCGGGTCGCTGGTGTCGGCGGGGGCCCCGGACGTATTCAGGTGCTCGATGATGTCCTTGAGGTCCTGGGCCATGCGCTTGAGCTGCGCGTCGATGTTCTCAGCCAGCTTGTAGGTTTTCTCGCGCTCCTCATCCGCGTGCTGCAGGTAGATGGTTCCGCTCTGCTCCTTTACCAACTCCTCCAGCGGGCTCAGCAGGTCTTCCAGCTCCTTCTGCTGGGACAGGATGAAGTCGAGCTCCTGGTCCAGCCTCTTCTGGTCCAGCTTCACCTTCTCCACCTCGCGGTGCAGGCTGGTGATCTTCTCCCCGTTCTCGATCAGCGTGCGGTCCCAGGCGTTGACCTGGGTGGCCTGCTGGAGGAAGTGCCGCTCCTGGTCCTCTAGCTCCAGGCTCCATTTGTTGATCAGGCTCTCCAGCTGCGCGTAGGTCATGGCGGAGCTGGCGGCCGCCCCTGCAGCTGCACCAGGGCCAGGTGGAGCAGTCACAGCGGCTGCCGTATTGCTGGGGATCCCAGCTGGCGCCAGTGGTTTTAAATTCAAGGCAAAGCCGGTGGTGCTGCTGCTGCTGCTGGTGGCCGCGGCGGTGGCAGTGGTGGATGTTGCTGTGGAGGCGCCCGAAGCTGCTCCAGGTGCCTTTAAGCTGAAGCCCTGTGTCCCGGCAGCGGGGGCTCCCGCGGTGGTCGCAGGGGTACAGAGGGAGAGTCCGGTGGTGGCAGACGAGGTTGGAGCGGTTGCTATTGATGCAAAGAGGGTGGGCCCAGTACCGGTGGTGGTGGCTGTGGCTGTGGGAGCAGCTGGCTGCGTAACGCCTGCTGTGGTGGCTGCTGGCGTGGCCGGAGTAAAGGGCAGAGTGGCAGGTGCGGTGGGCTGGGCTGAATTCCCCGCTGAGCCAATGTTGAAACCGGAGGGCTGGGCCGTGCTTCCACCAGTGAATGAGAAGCCTCCAGATGTGGTGGCTGGAGCCACAGAGGTGGTGGAGGGGCCAAACACAAAGCCAGTGGGTGCTGTGCCCTGGCTGGAGGTGACAGTGCTCGATATGGCATTAGTGAGGTTGCTGCTGCCCAGCCCAAAGCCACTGGGGTTTGCCATGGCTGGGGTGGCAGCTGTGTTGCTCAAGTTGAGCTTTGAAGCACCGATCCCCAAAGAAAATCCAGTTCCCCCCGAGGCAAGAGTTGCTGTTCCAAAAGTGAAGCCTGTTGTCTGTGTGGCTGGAGTCTGAGTGGCGAGTGAGAACAGGCCGGTGGAAGGGGTACTTGTGGTTGGTTGGGAGGGAGCCCCAAAATTAAACCCTCCAGTGCCAGAGGTGGAGAAAGAAAACCCTGTGGCAGGTGTGGTTGTCGCTGTCTTTGCAGTGCCAAATGTGAACCCACCTGTAGGGGCCCCAGTGCCTCCAAAATTAAACCCGCTCATGGCTCCGGACTCTGGTGGCGGCAGCTACTCTGGCTCCCAAAGCAAATCCGCTGGCGTCTGCGACCTCGGGAAGATTTCTAAAGCAAAGGAAGTGACACTGTCAGATGGCAGTTTTGGAAAGGCAAGCCCAGTGGCATGACTGGGCACGGCTGGTTTGGAGGGTGGTGGGATGGGATTACGATACCATGCAGCAACCCCCCTTCGTCCTGTGTAACCTAAACCAGACTCTGCTACATCGAGAAGGATCCAGAAGCACAAATGCACGCTCCAGGGGTCAGGTACGAGGAGCCGGGGTGCTAGGGACATGCATGGCCACATTCAGCACAGTGGAAAGTTCCCACTCTGGAGGATGAGGCGGGAGAACAGGACCTTGGACCCACTTCAGCCCGAGGAGATCAGATTTGAGGCACTGCCACAAGCGGGACTAGGACACAGAAGAACAGCTATAGGACCTGCTCCCAGCGTGGGACCCAGTAAGGTTCCCTGGCTGACTCTAGCGGGGTGTGAGCGGATCAGCTCTTGCCACCCTGAGGGCCTCTCTGGACGTGAGAGAGAGAGATGGGGCAGGGAACCCAGGCTGGATGGCAGGATCTGGGCTGCTGAAGGTCCCCCAGGCCCACACCTGTACTCTCTAAGAGCAGGAGAGGACGTGCCCCTCCTAACTCAGGGGAGGGTCTGAAACCCATGTGCTCAGAGCACAGATGCCCCTGGCCACAGTGACTGGCTCGAGGATAAACTGAGACCTGAGCCAGGCAATCAGAGCTTCCCCTGGGATTTTCTCCATGCTCAGAAGGCAGCTGCCTCCTTCGCCTCTAAGTGTGGTGCAGGGGATTGCACCTGGGCCTCCCTTGGACACCTTCTCAACCACCTGCAGACACTGGGACATCACCGGAGACCATGAGCCCCACCAGAGATGGATGGGGTGGGGAACAGATAAAGAGCCCCCGAGAAGCCCCATGGGCCAAACATTTCCCTTCAGTCCAAACTGACTTGATGTTGGTGACGTCTAACCGAAAAATCTCCAAGTGGTGCCATCTATCAGCGGGATGGTGAGGAAAGGGTGAGAGGAAGTGCTGGATAGGGGTGTTTTTTTTCTTTTGGGAAAGGGTTTTGCTCTGTCATACCAGCTGGAATGCAGTGACATATCACAACTCACTGCAGCCTCAAGCTCCGGGGCCCAAGCGATCCTTCCACCTCAGCCTCCCAAAGTAGCTGGGACTACAGGTACATGCCACCATGCCCGGCTAATCTTTTTTATTTTTCGTAGGAACGGGATTTCACTCTGTTGCCCTGGTCTTGAACTCCTGGGCTCAAGCGATCCTCCCTCTTTGTCCTCCCAAAGTGCTAGGACTATAGGTGAGAGCCCTCCAGATGATCAGAAGCATCCTTAGAAGATGGGTTTGACTGACTGGAGAGGGAAGAAAGCTTGTGGTGGCAAGAGCAGACTGGAGTGATGCGCTTTGGAACCTGAAGACGGGAGAAAGCCAGGAGCCAGGGAAGGCAGAAGCAGCTCTAAAAGCCGGAAATGGAAAGAGGGAGGCCCTGTCTAAAAAACAAACAAACAGAACGAACAAAGTCATGACTGAGAAGCCAAGTGCCTGGCCCAGAGAAACACCCACGACGTCTGTTTCCTCTTCCCTCTCTCCAGGCCAGTTTTTAAATTGCTTGGTGTCTGTCCTCAGGAAATCCCCTTCTAGCTTGAGGAAGAAGAAACCTACCTCACTACCCCCACCCCTTCCACTGCACCCTTCTGCCTTCCACAGGCCCCTAATTTTTGTTTCATCTGCTCCTCCTCCTCCACACAGCCAAGCAAGTCTGGGGAGATGACCCCAGGGCCAGCTGCATGCGCTCTGCCTTGTCCCAGCCAGCAGATCTCAATGGGCGCCCATCAGCACTGACTGGAGCATTTAAAACACCGAAGGCTGCCAGCTCCATGAAGCCAGTCTCTCCAGGGCTAGGATGCTGGCCCTGGCATTTTCATAAAGCTCTCCTGGGGGATTCTGAGAAAGGCTTCTTCAACAGGCCACAGCAAGTGCCTGAGCCCCCAGGACTGTTGGGGCCCAGCCCGGCCTGCATCCATTCCTCCCGTTGTGGGACAGAACAAAAGTCCTCACTGCTGAGCCACCTCAAGTCGGTGTGTTGTTACTGGCAGCTAAAGGCATTGGAGCAGCTACACCTACACATCTCAGTTCTCAAAAACTCAGCTTAAAAAAGCTTTTGCTATTAATAAGTTATAGCTAAAATTTCCAAGAAGAGCATTTATAAAAAGCTCTTTGCAACTATGAAAAAACTACAAGGAAAACAATCTTCTGTGGGGACTTGTCTGGCTTAACGGTTCACCTTTTTTTTTTTTTTTTTGAGACGGGAGTCTCGCTCCGTTGCCCAGGCTGGAGTGGAATGGCACGATCTTGGCTCACTGCAACCTCCGCTTCCTGGGTTCAAGCAATTCTCCTGCCTCAGCCTCTGAGTAGCTGGGATTACAGGCACATGCCACCACACCTAGCTAATTTTGTATTTTTAATAGAGACGGGGTTTCTGCATGTTGGTCAGGCTGGTCTCAAACTCCCAGCCTCAGGTGATCCACCTGCCTCAGCCCCCCAGAATGCTGGGATTATAGGCGTAAGCCACCACGCCCAGCCAACAGTTCACCATTTATTAAGTGCCTCGTTGGTTTCTAATACTTCAGGTGCCAGGGATCTAGTCACAATGGTGAACCCATACAAATCCAGCTCTGATCCATGCAGTTTAGATGTAATATGGCCAGGTGCAGTGGCTGACGCCTGTAATCCCAGCACTTTGGGAGGCTGAGGTGGGAGGATTGCCTGAGCTCAGGAACTCAAGAACAGCCTGGCCAATATAGCGAGATCCTGTCTCTACAAAAAAATACAAAAATGAGTTGGCTGAGATGGGAGGATCACTGGAGCCCAGGGAGGTGGAGGCTGCAGTGATTGTGCCACTGCACTCCAGCCTGGGCAAAATAGTGAGACACCATCTGAAAAAAAAAAAAAAAGTTAGATATATCATTACTCACCCTTTCCTAAAAGCAAACTTTGGGGCAGATCCATTTTTTTTTTTTTTTTGAGACGGAGTCATGCTCTGTCGCCCAGGCTGGAGTGCAGTGGCCGGATCTCAGCTCACTGCAAGCTCCGCCTCCCGGGTTCACGCCATTCTCCTGCCTCAGCCTCCCAAGTAGCTGGGACTACAGGCGCCTGCCACTTCGCCCAGCTAGTTTTTTGTATTTTTTTAGTAGAGACGGGGTTTCACCGTGTTAGCCAGGATGGTCTCGATCTCCTGACGTCGTGATCCGCCCGTCTCGGCCTCCCAAAGTGCTGGGATTACAGGCTTGAGCCACCGCGCCCGGCCGCGGCAGATCCATTTTACAAATGAGAAAGTGAAGCCCAGAGTGGTTAGCTAAGCCATGGCCCCTGTCCTCGAGGCAGCCAGAGTCAAATGTCAGCTCTATAATCAGGGATCAGGGCTGGGTTACATGCTGTGGGAGCAGGTTCCAGGGAGGAGCTGAGTGTTGCAGATGTAGCATCAGCCAGGGAAAGGATGGGGAGGGGAGAGGAGCTGTCCAGGCAGGAGGAAAGGCCTACGGGAAGACAGGGAGGCTGAAACAGCAGACATGCCTCTGGGTGCTAAGTGATTTGGTGCTTCGGAAGGGAGATGTTTATGTGTGAAGGACTGATTTGCCAAGCATGAGCTGTTCAAATCTGCACATTCCAAAGAGAGAAAATGGCCCTTGACCAGCTCTGGGAGAATCTCTATGTTCTTGAAATGTCCTGCCAGGTAAGAGCGTCTTTGTTTACCTGGAGCCTCAGGCCACTCTAGGGAGTCCATGTTAACGCTGTGACCTACAGTGGGGGCTTTGGGTCATACGGTATCAGCACAACCTCTGGAGGGGCTGGAGAAAGCAGACCTCAGTTTAGCCACACAGGTGCTCCACGCCTACAGAACTGCTCCTCCCCACAACCCGGGCCGCCAACACTCCGTAAGTGTTACCACACACTGTTGCTGGGAGAACTGAGCGCTGTCCACGGAATCCTCTACCTGGAGAGGAGAGCTGGAAGCTCGTGCCTGGTCTCTCTCGGAGCTTCTGCATCTCTCCCCTTTGCTGTTTTCGGTCTGTTTCATTTCTCCATAATAAACCGTGACCGTGACTGTGAGTAGAAAGCTTTGCCGAGCTCTGTGAGTCTTAGTCCATCACTGAGCCGTGACCGTGACTGTGAGTAGAAAGCTTTGCCGAGCTCTGTGAGTCTCAGTTCATCACTGAGCCGGAGGGTGGTCTTGGGGACTCAGGGCCACGTGATGGGCGGGAGAATTCGGCAGAGCCATACATACCATGCTAACGGTTCGGGCATGATGTTGAGGGAGCCACAGGGGACTTTATGGGTGTGGGGGATGAACTGCAGGGGTAGAGGCTGGAGGCCAGGTGGCTTAGAGAAGACTGGGAGAAGGTCCAGGCCAAGAGCCCGAGTCCCGAACTGGGACTCAGACAGAGAGGACAGCATCACAATTTGAGCAAAGTGTTAAATTCACACCAGAACCACAGGGTCTGTTCCCAGTTGGCAAAGCCTGCACCAAGACCACAGGGTCTGTCCAGGTTAACAGTGACAGGCCAGGCATGATGGCTCACGCCTGTAATCCCAGCACTTTCGGAGGCCAAGGCGGGAGGATTGCTTAAGCCCAGGAGTTTGAGGCAAAAAACAAAAAAAAGCCACAAATACTAGAACTTGGGAAGTTTCTCACAAATGCAAAGTATTACAAGCTCTGATCCTGGAATTACCACATTTGTCAAAGGGGAGAGTTCCCTTACCAAAGAAGCCGATGGTGCTGGCGGCGGTGGGGGAAGCAGGGAGGAACCCAAACTGAGGGAGTGGTGCATTTCCAGGGAAAGGAGGAGGGTATGCCTGGGCCTGTGCTCAGGGCTGGGTGGCTGTGACCATCTGTAGTTCACCCAGGCAGGACACAGCTCCAGAGAAGCGCTGCCTTGAGGTCACCAAGGGAAGTGCTGGCAGAGCCGCCAGTCCTTTCCCTTCCTGCCTGCCCCAACATTTACCCTTGGGTTTAAACAACA